ACCGTGTTGTCCCCGAGCTGCCCGCGACCCCCTAGCTGCAGAGCGCTCGAGCGCCGGGCTCCCCGCCGGTATCCCTTCTCCCGCTCCCTGCGCCAATTAAGCAGAACACAAATGTAACAATTTTCTTCTTGTTAATTGCATCTCCTGACATTTCTGCGTGTTGGGGGGAAAAAAGATGAAGAAGTAAGAGCTGAAAGAAAAGAGGGAAGCCCCGCGGCGGCTGCAGGCGCCTGCGAGCGCAGTGCATTGGCAGCGCTCCGCTCGCAGAAGGCGCCTTTTTTTTCATATTGAAACCACGCGGAATATGTACATTTTTTAGTCTTACTTACGCTTTCAGGGGGTTGTGAATGACAGTCGCCATTTTGCTACAATGTAACAGAATATTGTCTGTCTCAGAGTTCTAAAGGTTCGCTCAGGGGAAGCGGGGAGCCAATCAGAGCACGGGATACCGGCCCGCTGGCCAATCGGCGCCACTGGTCGCCAGGTGGGCGGAGCCTGAACGGTGGTAGTTATTAGGGGAGCTGTCAAAGCCCAGAGGTCACTCCCTTTTGTAGAGCCCGAGAGCGAGCAGGTCTTAAAGGGGCAGTACCGCGCGAGCTGCTCTTTCGGATTGAGGAAAGTGGAGACGCACGGGAGAGTTTGGTTTGAGTTTCTACTTTCTAGGCAACTGCATAGAGTTCGCGCTTCCGGACAGAAATATTTATGTATTTTCAACAAACCATTGAACTCCATTCATTAGTTTTTGGCTTTTCTATTACGTTTTTAATCCCCCAATGGGCAAATCCCTTGTTCCCCGTGCAAAAGTTGGAAGGTTGCCGCTTCATCTGACAAATTACTACACGTGCCCAGCCGTTTGCTACTGCTCTGGGTCCCGCGGCTTTTTAACATTCTCATTCCTGAAGTGTTTTCTTTATCTCAGGCACCTTCCTCTCTCGGTTTCTTGGAACTGCCGCCGCTGTTCCTGGCGATTCCAGGACAGCAACTCCCCTCCCTCCTGGAAAGTCTCAATGTCAGGCCCGGAGGCTCCCAGGCAGCCGGGCTGTGGTTATGTAATGAGCGGTGGTCACCCCGCGCGGCTCCCCACCACCACCTCTCCTGTTCCACACACACACACACACACACACACACACACACACACACACACCAGGAGCTGCTGCAGTGATCAGATTCCAGGCGCCTGGGGAGTCGAGTGGGACCTGGCTCTCAGACCTGGCTTAGGTGCAGGGAAGGTTTAAGGAAGCTTTTGGAAACGTCTTCTGCTACCTAGCCTGGGGGCGGGCAGAACCTCTTTGGGCGAGCAGCACCCGCGATTCTGACGTCTCCTTTCACTATTAGATAGAAGGTGAAAAGGGTTCGCTAATGAGTAATCTTGATGTGCCTGGAGGTGTTCAGAGTCCGTGTGAACTCCTCGCTGGCGAACCCCGGACAAAATTGGGAGATTTCTGTGAAGCCGGTCTTCTGCGGGGCAGTCGGGAAGCTCGAGGTGGGTGACATCGCACTAAATCCCGAATTAGAGGCCTCGTCAGCAAACAGAAATCTGGCTACCATCCCAAAGTTGTTGAATCAGGTCAAATAGCTAAGATCGTGGGGGAGGGGAGGAAAGGGGGAAGAGGAGAGGCCAAATTGCCAGTTCTTCAAAGCTGTGCCCTCTCACTTCCTTTCTCAGAGCTCCTCTCCAGGCCATGAATGAAACTAAAACTCTTTTTTTTTTTAAGTTCCAAAACTTTCAGAATTCAACTCATACACTATTAGAGTTACAAATAAGCAGAACAGGGCTGAATTCAGTATGTTTGTAAGACGTGGCCATTTTAACCCCTTCCTTCTACCTAGTTAATAGCAGAGTCAACTTCTATGGATTGCTTTGTACAGCACCTTGCAGTTTGAAAAGTTATCCTCTTTTCTAAAACTCAAGTTTGAAAAAAATAATCCTTTTCTTATTAAATTTTCAAGGGGTTAGTTCAAAAGTTAGTACTTTGCCTGGGATGTGCCTTGAAAACATTAAAATGCAAGCACTGTATTCTGACGCAAGAAGTATGAGGTTGAAGTATCAGTCAGAACTCCCACCAGCCTCTTTGAGATATCAAAATCACAGCAATTCATAGTGGAAGACAACAGTGTATTTTAATATGTGCAGCCTTGATAAAGGAAGCAGAAAATGTAGCCTGCTCTGAATAAGGCTAACAATTTAATAGGAGAGGGGGAATACATTTATATTGCATATTAAAGCAAAAATATATACCCTAAGCCTGTATAATCATTTATTGTGTTAAGGCCCAGAGGCAGAAACCAGCATGATTTGTCACGACCTGGCACACTTGAAAATGGCAGACCAGAGCTGTCTTCACTTTGAGAAATTTTAATCCAGAACTTAATCATTTGTTACATTTTATAATGATTGAATTGAGAAAATAATGGCTTGAAAACAGGATTTTTATAAGTAGGATAGCCTTGCTTTTTAAATAT